AATTCTGGGAGTTGAAGTCCACCCATCTTAAAGTTGCTGAGGTTGAGGAACCCTGTTCCAAGGCCTTTCTACTTTAGGCAGCAAGAAGTCCAATATTTTCAAACTAGCCATACCAGCTTACTGGTTTTCAAACTGATTCTCAGCTCAAAGACCTGGATCAGTCTGAATAGTGTCTGAACAGCTGCTGTCCCTTACAGACATCTCTGCAAGAAACATTCCTCCCTTAACAAGGTATTGGGTTTCTCTTTGCAAGATCCTAATAAGGACAAGTGACTTTCTTTTGATCAAATCATTTGCCCCATGTATGGACTTGTTTGGTTTGGAAGACTCAAAAATATCTGCCACTATCTGATGGCCTTGAATCTCTGCAAAAGAGATTCTCTTAATCCAGTGAACACTCTGTTGTTACCTGGCAGGTATGATAACCATTGGTTATTATCTTGTAACAGACACTGGTTATAGGCACAGCAAACTTACTTGTTACTTGAAATAGTTTAATACAACAGCTCTGATTTGAGGAGCAGAAGCAGAGGAGACACACCCAGAGGCACACTAGTCCTTGGTCTAATTTTCTGTCGTTCTCTGCAACCAAATCGAGTCAGACATTTTCTGGCAGCCTGTGTGAAAAAGAAAGAATGAGAGAGAAAAGGGGCATCAAAAAGTGTAAAAAGAGAGAGGGAGAGAGAGAGAGAGAGAGAGAGAGAGAGAATGGGTGGTGCTCCTGCTTCAGTCTTCCTACTCATTAGCCAGCAATCTCCAAAAGATTATCTTCAAGGAAAGGGAGACCTGGAAAGACAAAAACACTGCCTTGCCCATGGTGGAAGCCCTTCTTTCCTTTTTCTTTCAGAATTAAAGTGTAGCCCCGTTAATCCAAGTATACTGGTAAAGGAACTACTGGCTTAGCTACCATCACCACCACCAACCCCTTTCCTGCATTGGAAATTCTTTTGTAATGTCAGTAGGTGGAATGTGAGCAAGACACAGAACAGCACCGTCACTTGGTTAACATTTAAACAAGGAATCAAACTTTTATTAAATAACTTAAAAGGGGTTGTAACTGGGTTCCTTAAATATTAGAACATATCTATAGGCTGTCCATCTTTGCCTTCACTGGTGCTGAAAATAGATTCCTAAACCTGACAGATGGAGGGTCTTCCTAGGTTAGAACCCGGAGCTTCTCTTAGATCACATTCCCAGGTGTCCGGTTCAACAATGATACCCCATGGTTATGATGTCATTCATGCAAATTATGCTAAGGTCAATTGCACTCTTTGCCTTCTCTGCAGGGCAATACGATGGTGCATGTGATGTCAGTTACTCCTCCCTATAAACAAGCACACTCAGCCCTCATATACATCATTCAATTCAAACTTCCATGGATCTGCCACATGAGCTCTCTCTCACTAGGGTACTTCTAAAGAGCTATTTAAAGCTGAAATATCTCCTTTCTTTGCACATGAAAACAAAGATGGCTAAATACGTGTGAGAGGTGCACAAACAACTAACACTTTGATGTGGTGGGAAACTCAATAGCTTCCATGATTCACAGATGATACCAGCAAGAGCAGGAGCTCCTGGTAGGGTTAATCTTGCTCCTAAGGTTGAAAGTGTGATGGAATGGACTCATGAAGGCCAGGCTCAGGGAGATAAGCGTGTTCTTAGCCCCCAGCAGGAGTGTGGGAAGTTCAAGAAGATGAGGCTGGCACCTCCCTAAGGAATTCACGTGGCTGGCTGGCTTGGGAACTTGGGTTCAGTCTGGGGAGATTCTGTCTTGAGGTGGAAGCTAGTAAACGCAACAGAACTGTATCTGCATTGTCTCGTGGAGTTCTTTGGGCTGAACCTGACAGAAAGGAGACAAATACTGTAAAGCTAGGAAATTCTACAGTGGGAGTGAAGGCAGGCAGACTCCTCCAGGAGTAAGGAAAGCCAAGTCCTCTTGGACAAGGAACTCCAACTCTAGCCCAGGAGAGGGCAGTGGGAAACAACTTCTGTATTACTACCACAAACTATAGAGATGTGGCTAAGATGCTGAGACAAGCTTGGGGACCAGAAGATGAGTTCCAAGATCAAGTTGTGGGGGAAAAAATGTAAACGTGGATATTGTTAAAGTGGAAATGAAGCATACTAAATTGGATGCCTTAGGAACAGTGAAAGTGAGTGGGCTGGAATGGGTCACTTTAAGTCACATGATGTCCTATTCAGGCATGCAACCACATGAAGAACAGACGGACGATGGGCACTTCTACAAACTTCTACAAAGCTGTTTTGCCGTGTTCCTCTCCTGATCCAGAGGCAACAGGAAATCACGCTGCCCCCACCCAGCACCCTTATCACACACCGAGAACAGGTCTGCATTGTGTTGCTGGCCATACAGCTCCAAGGCCGAATATTTTAATATCATCCACCTCCTGAAAAGCCTCTTCCAATTGGCAGGCACAACTACCTGATTACTCCACACGCAGTATTTTATTATTATTATTTTTCTTTCCCATCATACCACTGACTGAACTTCTTTTTATATTTCTTGAAAATATAGGTTGATGGGTCAACTGTTCAGCCTATCAACCAGTAGGTGGCAACGAAGAATCAGAGGGGCTTTTTAAAACTTCTTGGGTGCCATCTAATGGTTGTCGGGATTTGTGCAACTGCTGGATAAATGCTGTAGAAGAGCTGGGGTTTCAGCAAAGGGTTTGGCTGTGAGGATTGGTGTGGGAGCAATAAACTACCCTATGAACATTATGAAGGAGAGGGGGTGAGATGCCAGGGTTCCTGGGGGCAATGACCATTGTGAAGGCTACAGAAGGGCAACAGCTGTGTCCTTTCAATTACACTTTCATTACCTGCATTAAAGCAGGGACAGGTAGTCAATTTAGGGGCTTCATATTCGACTAGTCGACTAGTCCACCAACCCAAGATCAGAGAGCTAATGTAAGACAGATAATGGAGAAACCAGGAGAATATAAAGAAGAGGTTTTCCTTTGCTTTATTGACTACAGCAAGGTTTTTGATTGTGTAGATCATGCTAGAATTTGAGCAAACTTGACATTGAGTAAGAAGCTACCATAGTGGGAAAAAAGGAATGGCCTTGAAGGGCAGGAGGAAGAACCGCTACCAAGGCAATGGTCAGATAGAAAGGACCTGAGCCCAGGGCAAGAATTTAACATGAATAAGCATCTCAGACAAGCCCCTCCCTAGTTCACGTGAAGATAAAGGGAAGGAGGGGGAAGCACATTCAGACTTGCAAGATTCTGTTACTATAGATATACTGTAGGTGAGGAGGTGTGGGAAGTCTTTCAGAAGGGACCCTCCCTAATTTTCCAGAGAGAAAAAGGAAAGGAGGGAAGAAATACTTTCAGGCTTGCAAGATTGATATTAGCCCTCCACGGTAGTCCAGACAAGAAACACAACTATGAGTACTAACTCTAGCTTTATTGTAGGGTTACATTAACAGAATCTTGCAAGTCTGAAAGCATTTCTCCCCTCCTTTCCTTTGCTCTCTGGAAAACTAGGGAGGATCCCTTCTGAAAGGCTTCCCACAACCCCTCTGCTTCTGTGGACTGAAATATCTTTTGCATGAAGATCCTGTCTCTCAAGGTCATTCCCACATACCATTAGACGCTGTCACTTGTGATGAAATGGGAAGCCTCTCCAGGTAGAGGCAAGGAAGACACAGAGTGGGAATCAGCATGGGAGAAGATTGCCAAGATCAGTGTTGTCCAAACTTGGCCACTTTAAGATGAGTGGACTTCAACGATCATCTTGGCCAGTGTTGTCCAAACTTGGCCACTTTAAGATGAGTGGACTTCAACGATCATCTTGGCCAGTGTTGTCCAAACTTGGCCACTTTAAGATGAGTGGACTTCAACGATCATCTTGGCCAGTGTTGTCCAAACTTGGCCACTTTAAGATGAGTGGACTTCAACTCCCAGAATTCCCCAGCCAGCCATGCATGAAGTCCACTCATCTTAAAGTGGCCAAGTTTGGACAACACTGGCCAAGATGATCTACTCTAGAGGTGTCTGCCCTGAGACCCCAGGGCTAAATGGGGCCCTCAAAAGTCTTGGCCGCAGCTCCCAAGTTCCTCCCAAGTGACTACCAAATGCTAATTATTAATTTGTCAGCAGAAGAATACAACATACACAGTCATTGTATCATCTGTAACTTATTAATCAAATAAACATATAATTTAATTATACATAATTATATTCTCCACTATTGCAATTATTTCACATTTATACGTAACTGGAATTAAATGAAGTTACATTCCCTCCTGACCCTGCCACTTTTTGGCCAACTTCATTGGTAAGAGAAATCTGCTGAAAAATCTTATGGGGACTCTGAAACAGTCTGTCCTTCCTTGCTTGCTATTAATTCTGTTGGATGAACCAGCAACAATTCTGGAATTATTCACAAAGCTATTTTACATTACTACCATTAGAATCACTTCCTAGCAATAGCATTCATCATTTTTATGAACACAGCAGTCTTCTCTAACTTTCTGATTGCACTTGGACTAAAACTCCCATGATTCCCAGCCAGGACAATTTTAGCCCATGGTTGCCAGAAGTCATGGCAGCGATTGACCAACATCTGAAGGATATCAGGTTGGGAAAAGATGCTTTTGTTATTGGATGGAAGGTCTAAACCTGGGTGTCTATTAGAAAGTGGCGAGGTACCCCAATTTCCACATGTAATGTTGTCCAAAGAGAAGGCATAAGATACTTCTTGCTCCCTTGGTAATTCTGGAAACCATCTCACTTCTGAAAAATTCCTTTTCTCTTCTATTTCCATTGCTCATGGCATTTTCAAAGACTAACCCTCAACAATGTTTAAGTCAAAACTTTCCAGAAAATGCAACAGTACATTAAAGTTTCTGTGGTTTTGGCTGGTATCACACAGAGTCACTAGGCAACAGTCTTAAAGACCAAACCCAGTATATCCCTGTGAAGTGGGAATATGCTAACCAATTCCTTGACCTGGAGCCTCTGTGGAATATTAAAGTCTTGGCAAGCCCACCTGGCATGATGGACCGCAGAGAAGAACTCATATCCAGAAACAAGCACGTGTCTGACTATCAGATGCTCAACAACTGTCACATGAGAAGGAAACTGGCTTGTCATATTCTGCTTGCTAAACCCCCACAGTGGAAGATTTGATCCCAGAGCATTTTCTAACAGGGCATGCAAAATCCTGAAGCCCACGAAGCTCCTTGTACTCTCTGACATAAATTAAAAAATTGGAGTGGTTCACTATTGGGTGACAGAGAGGAGAGCAGGGAACAAGCTGATCAGCTCTTCATCTTCATGGCTTTGTCATGTCTACCTTGGTAGCCATTTTGTGAACAGGCAAGGTCTCCCACAGTAGCCATTTTGGAGACTGTTTCAAAAAGGGCTCCCAAAAGGCTTCTGGAGCACATCAGCCCCAAATAGTTCTGTATTCTTGTTCTAAGAGTAACCAATCATAGGGGTTTGGATGGTAGATGCCTCTCTTGGAGATAGTCTGGAAGGTGTTTCCAGTTCCAGGATAGAACAATGACAGACTGTAAACCTAAGAAATGAATTTTG